AGGAATCAAAAATTGGCAGTATTTGCTCAGCAGAACCAAAGATTTTTGTTTGATTTTTGTTATTATGTACTATATATTGTCTGTAGTTCCACGCATTTATCTGAATTTGTATAGAGGAATTTTACGAGTGAAATAACTTCAGTTTTTCTTTCTGTTTTATCAATAAGGTTATGTAACCCCTTGTGTAAGACGTACTTCTGATAATTCTTCAATGCTGTAATCTATTTAACTGTTACAAAACAAGTGAACCTTTTTTTTTAACAGAAAAAGGCATTTGGAAATAGAATTTGTTTTTTGCAAATGTGTACCAAAAACATTTGTGAACGTTTGTGCCGTACAATCCTTTTTCCCAGTTAATAAATTAAAAATTCTTGGATATTTTGGACAATATATTGAACAAGGTTGAATGGTAAGGCTAATGTTCTTTTTAAGGATAGAATATGGATGACAAATCATTGTTTTGCAAATGAATCAATTTGTAAAGTTTGATATTCAAGGTATGTTCACTAAAAACACATCAGAATGTTTGTGAAGGATGAAGTCACATTTTGAGAATGTGACAAAAATAGTTCATGCTTTGTAACAAAGAGTTATTTTGTCTCTACATCCACTTTTAAAAAGTGGGGAAATTCCTGTAAATGTACCCGTATTAGGAGACATTTTTTTCGTCCTACGTTTATACCTAATAGACAAGGTAGATTAAGGAGACATTTCAATGTCTCCCTGATGTCACAACTCCTATTTAGTGGCAAAATTTTGTCGCCGCAAATAGGCTAGGTCGATTGCTCGTGGTCCCAAACAGAAATATACCAACATTCGTGGGGGTAGGATATCAAGGTAAAATGGGGGTAACAGGTCATGAAATTTTGAATATTTGTGTCACAACCCTATGGGAACCTCTCTTTAAGGTACCATTCTCGGTAATAATTAAATGTTTATGTATCCTTATCACTTTGTATTCAAGGTTTTAGTTTTTCATTGGCTGTAAGTTTTTGCTGACTTGTCATTAATTAAAAAAACTGGCCAGTTTTCAAAAGAATATTCATTCTTTTGTATCTCAAAATTGAAAGCACGTTAGAAAAATCAGTTTGAAATACTGAGATTTACTTTTCAAAATAATATATAAGCACAGTATGCTCTGTGTGATCTGAGAGATTTTTTGAAATAAAGTCACAGTAATTCTCGTGTGGGATTCGAACCCACGATCTCCTGCTTTTCCCGTGCAGTCGTCTTACCGATCAGCCACGAAACTTCCTGGGGTTGGGTGGCAGGTTCGACAAACTTATCAAAAATATTTTGCATAATAACAAACTTTGAACCGCTAACCTGTTCTTCAATACAGTTTTGAGAATCGTAATTATTGTGTGAGGCTTTTCATCCAGATTGCTCTTTAAGCGCACTCTTGTATATAGCTATGGTACAAATGTAAGATGCGACTATGGGGAAATATAAGCTACGGCCTTTAGGTAAACAAAAGTTTGGTTGGCGCACTAGAATTCCACTTAGAAAAGTCCAAAAAGTAGTGACAAATATGGTAGTATTTCAAATCACAGCTCTGTTGGTTGCAATGTGTATGTATATGCAAGATGGAATTTAGAATAAAAACTCGTAAATACAAGAAATAATTATTAACATCTTGTTTTAGAATGTTGTGCAACTGGTGTAAAGTATATTAAGGAATTCTTAGTGGGATATAATTACATGTTTAATATCTAGAACAAGTAGAACTCAACATATTTTTGCATTCTGGATCATGTTTTCGATTTTCAGCTCTATTTTAAGTGATTATCTGTATATTTTTCGTACACTTGCAATATATAGGAATAAAATTGAATTAAATTTAGGAACTGACCAGGCAGCTGGGATAATGAATTATATTTATATTCAACAATCGTACTAAAAAGTGTAATAATAGTTTGTAACAGATGACTATTTGAAATGACCATGGATGCATCAAATAAGATTGGCCTTTTTGTATATTTTCTCAAACATTTGGAAATATTGAGCCTTCTTCATATGATGAAAAGAAAAAAAATTCATAACTAGCATTATTGTGTGTTCAGCATGGTGCCTTGGTGTTCATTGCACAATATGCACATTGATATCAGTCTGGAGTCCAGACTAAAAAAAAAAAATTGCAAAACTTGACAGACGTATTGTACATTTGTGTGTTGCAATGTTCTTTGTGCCTTTGTTGTAAGGGAGAATTTTTGAAACGTATTGCCTTAGCACCAGTTTTGCATTAAAACCTCATACAGTCGAGTCGTTAACCAGTGACGCCAAAAAAAAAAAGATTTTCTGTACTCGCATGTAATGAAAAAATGTCAGATGGCTGTTGGGTTTTTATTAGGCTAAGTAAAAAAAAATAGAGAGTTTCTCGTCAGGCCTTTTTGAAAAAATGAAAGGGGCGGGCACTTTTTTCCCCCTTTTTTCTCAAAGATGGCAGATTTTCCAACATGGCAGATGGATTCTTTGTTTTGCTCGACTGTTATGCTGTGTCCTAAGGAGCCCAGTAACTTCTTCTATAGCAACAATTTTGTTGGAAACAAATAAAAAGACAATTATTCTATACATCTATTGATAGTATATGTGCAAAAAATATTGCAAATGTATGAATCAAAGAAGAAAAAAGAGGGCATGGACGAGAAACTGGTTTATCTTTTTACTTGGCCTTAGCTAAAACAAGGTGTCACTTTAAAAATGTATGCACAAATATGGTTGAACATTTAAAACACGTGCAACAATCTTTATATAATTGTATAATTGTATTGCAATGGTTAACAAGCACACATTTTTGGAACTTTTCTTAAATTTTCGGTAACATTTCAGTTGTTTATCACTTCCAAAAAGTATATGCTTTGGTTCTTTCTCATAATTTCACCTATAATTTTTCAAGTGGAAACAGTAAGTGCACTTTTAGACAGTTTATCAAGCGTTCAGATTCTGTATTCAGCGCACATTGGCTGTTTTATGGGTAAAGACTCTTTCATTTGTAAAGTTGCTTCAGATCCAAATTCAATATCGCTTTTCGCTTTTTTTTTTAACTGCCTACATGACTAGTGGATTAATTCTTTTTGAAATCACCTGATAGATCAAAAGTGTATTAACTTTGTTGCTACAGATAATGCTATGTTGATAATTGTTCCATCTTAAATTCTAAGTTGCAAACATACTCATTTGAAACTAATTTTTGCAGTGTTTGCCACTATCCTTTTGTATTCAGAAAATACCTTCAAACTAAAGTCTTCATTTAAACGTTTCAACTCTTACCATTTTATTTATGATCAGTAAAAATCAAATACTGTTTTCATTCGTGTACATCATAGGTTATTGACATTTTCGAATTTGTTTTTAGCATTTATTGTTCCACATTGTGATTTCTTTCAATAGAAATTTAAGGAATGGTTATTTATTTAATTTACATCTTCAGAACTAATAAACAATGATTAGGCACCGAATATCTCTATGTGTCATTTTACTTTGTAACATTTATTTCCATCAGTACATTTGATAAACTTGCTTTTTTTATTTAATTTTTTTGTGTGTCTTAGGCGCTTTATAACTTTGCTTGCACCTGGTGTCATATGAAATTTTGACTCGCTGTGAAATCTTGCCTCTTGTACTTAATAGAATTATAACTCACGCATTACTGTCCTTCACATTTTGTTCTTAAGCATGCGCAATACAACCAACAATTCAGTATTTTATAGATTCCAAGTTTCTGTACACCGGCGCCGCTCACCAATTAAGCTATCATTTTGGCGCCCTACATGATCTATTTTTGCAATTGTGTGTTTTAGGAAAGGGTTGTATTTCCACGAAAATTGAAATTGGACAATATTAACCCATGCATTAAACTACATATAATACGGGGGATTTTATATTGGAAATGTAGTGGAACAGGAAATGAGTATAGCAAGCCTGTAGCGACAAAATGTTTTTGTGTCATGATCACCGACTGACGTACATCACCGGCATTATGATTCGCAGAAAAGCCTGTTGCGCGTACCGCCCCCTCCTCGCAAGCCTTCGTAGTTTAGCACCTTGCCAAGTTCATTGGAAATCGAAGCCGAATTTTAAATTTAAAAAAAATATATAAGTAAATAAACAGGTGCTTAAAAATCTTTAATTCCTAATGCAACAAAATGTTTCCTGTTGCGAAGAAACAAAATGATCAGGGAACAAACAAATGAAAGAAAGATAATGCAAAATCATTCAAATCGTTTATTAATAAAATTGTGAGTTATGATTTTAATTAATCCCCGAAAAAAAGCTAGAATTATTATCCACAATTGATAAAAACACTCACTGAAATTCATTTTAATCTCGTGAAAAATACACACAAATGATTTCACAGAAAACAAGGAAATATTTTATTTTTCTGGTTTATTTAAAAAAAAAAACACGAAGTAGCAGCCACTATTTTTGTGGCTGATGAGACCGGCTTACTAATATATATAGTTAAAAAAGATTTGTTTAAAAAGTACAATAAGATGTGAATTATACCATATTTCCATATAAATCCTAGTTTTTAATATACCTTTATAAAATAATAGGAATTATAAATTATGTATAATTATTATTATTATTAATCTATCTCCGAATAAGAACTAAAATAGAAGTTGCCCTTTCTTTAATTTATAATTTCCAGATGTTGTTACAATGGCATTTCAAATGCTAGCGTATTAATCCTTCAGTAACTCCTTGCTCTATGAGTAACAGCAGTGCAGAATAAACAGGACTTTTCCCGAAGGAAGGCCGCAAATATTTTCGCGCAAACTCATGGTCATTATGAATGAACGTCAAAACCGCAGAGCGAATGATGAAATCGCACACGCCGAGGTCACGGGTCACTAGACGCGCTGATTACGAAAATTTGATTGGTCAATATTGGAGGTGTGTCTGGTAAAGGTCGCATAAATTATGCTAATTACCGGCAGAAACTCTGCATGTCATGTCAGCTGTGTGCGCGCATGCTGTACAGAAAATGCGTACGTGAGATTTCGTGTGCTGAATACAAATGAATGGAATTTTCCGTTGTCAATGTGCGCGAAACTGAACGGTGGACTTTGTTGCCGGATGATTTCCCTGCGATTTCAAGCTGCAGAAAAGTGGAGAAATTCTCCGTTTTTGCTCCAGCTTTGACCACGGAAGGCAAGGTGAGATATTATTCTGTCAGAATTTTGAGTCAGTTAACCGGGGATGTGAGCATTTTTTATAGTAAAGTGTGGGTTTCAGCGTGGTGTAATTTTGTTGAGTCATTTTTTTTTTTGCGATGGACACCCGTACGTACGGAGCACGCTGATGTTGCCGCACCGTACGCGGGTACGCGTTGCCGGTTGTTCGGGATGCCGGTGCGCCACCCGGTCGGCATGATTCCCCGCAAAATTGGTAGACCCGGTGTTTGTCCACGTCCATGACGTCCGGCCTTCTAAAATCTTGTTTTTCTTTCCAAGGAACATGTATTGAGTTATTTGGAAAGAATTTAGTATCCAGACGCCGCCCAAGTCTGCTCCTTTGGTCATGTTGGTTGTGTGACTGTCATGAGTTGATTGAGTGCATTTTCAAAGTGGCCTAGGCTAGGCCTATTTCGTTTCTAACAAAAGTGGAAATGTTCCGCATTCCCAAATTCATGCCTTTTTAACATGTTTATAATAATTGACCTTCATTTGGATAATATAAGATGAAAAAAGTGGTGTCAGGATAACCTACAACATTCTTTCCAGGTATTTGTACCTACTCCTAGAACTATGAGGCTCCCACTACCATAGTTCTAGGAGTAATTTGTACCGGCAAGTAATTTGATATAAATTAGAATGAATTTGGGAGGAAACTACAATTTTTCAATTTATTCTTGATAAATTTGGTCAAGTTCTTGTCTTTGCAGTCTTTCTATTAATTATCTAACATTAGGCCTAAATTACGCTAAACAATAACATGGTTAAAGATGCATACCCCAGGCTCTTAAAAAAATGGACTTTTTCTCCTAACGAATGCTCAATTTGTATGTATGTTTTGTTTCAACAACAAAAACCACTTTATTCTGATTTTGGGCATATCTGCAGCCCTCTGAAATTTGCGCATAAATGAACCCACCTTGCAAGAACCGGCAACCAATAATTCAAGTTTCGTGAACAAAATAATCAATAACTATTCAAACGTCAATAGATATTTTTGTTCAATGTCTCATTCAAGATGGAAGAGTGAATAACTTTTATATTTCGAGGTAGAAAGCAAAAATTTAAGAGAAAAAAATATAGTTTTCGAGATGAAACTCACAAATAGCACGGAGAACGTATCTTTAAATAGAACTTTGACAAATTTGGTGCTATCAGTGATTCTGAAAAGTAAAACAGGCTAGAAAGTAGAATCATGATTCCCATTTGACCAACGGTTGGAAAGTTTCTTTCCAATCTTTAGTTGGGGTTTCAAATAGCCTTAATCTTTTTGTTGCCTGAAAACTTAGTTTGAAATCACTTGCCGTACTGCCTACCAATTTATAGGACATCCAATAACATTCTTCAAATTGGACTTTTTCAGGAACATACTTCGGAGGCAGCATCCTCACACGTAGTGATATCTGTAAAGACTTTGCTCCAAAATGGCGGTCCAAGAGGGCTCTGTAGCCCAAGCACGTATGATGCTACAAAGGCTGTCCACTAGAGACAGTGCCTGCCGACTCAACACCTTAGAACAACTCTGCTCCTGCATCGCTTCCCTCCACGAAGACGTCTTGGAACAGCGCTCCAACAGTGTCGAGGAAAGCGACGCTTACATCGATGGCTGCTTAGCCACAAACTGCCGGGACGGAGTCCACGAGAACCTACTGCAGCCACTGACCAGCGTTCTGCGCTTGGCTGTCCAGTGCCCATTTAAGGATGTGCAGGAAAAATGCAGTAGTCTTCTGAGTGAATACAGGGTGAGTTTCAACACTGTTCACTTTCTCGGCGGTGGTAAAATTTTTAGTCAAAGTCTCATTCAAAAGTGAATAACTTTGGTCTTGCTAGAAAAATTTGCAATTTAGAAAAGGAATCTAATTTTGGGGATTAACTGGTAAATCGCATGGGGAATGCAACTTTAAAGGGAATATACATCATTTGCTTTTGCTGTCATTTTCAGAAATGGATGGAATTGGGGGGTTGGAAATATATAGCAAATATAGTTACACTGACTTTTTTGAGGTTTGGGGTTTGAAAATGCTATAAAAACCAAGAAAAACGATCATTTTCCTGTAGTCTGGTTCCCTGACTCCATATAAAAAAAAAACAGAGCAGTTTACATACATTGGGGAATTGTAAGGTCAGGGAACCTGTCTAGCTGGCTCGTACCCGTTCATAGGTGTGTAATCGATTGCAAACAAGTGCGATGGTCAATTGGGGCCAGTATTTGAAAAAAAAGCCAGTTGTTTCCAACGCAGATCGGCCGATCAGCGTTGGAAATTGATACAAAAATACCACTTTTCTTGAAAATGACAGTATACCAGGTGCCATGATTTTACAGGATGCTTTACACTGTCATTCACTAACAGTCCAGCAAGGTATTTCAAAATGATTTGGTAGTTTTATTTTTTGATGTTTGCAAATGTTGTATTTTCCCTTTAACATCCTCAACAGTATTGACTGTGTATTTGATAGCACTTCACAACTGTTTATTCATCTTGCGGTTAGATAAATACCTGAATGCTGTACACAGGTCACCCAATAGGGATCTGTCACTACATGATCAAAATCAAAAATGGAATGTCGTGACTTGTGAACATTTTGCAGCATGGCTCAGTGATTGCAACAACCCAGAGGCCAGAGCGAGTCTTTGAATAAACATAAATGCTTTCAAACGTTTCCAATCTCTTTGCCTTTTTGTGATTCGAAACAGTCTGGTGCACTTGCACAGCATACAAAACGTGAATAGACCCTAAAAGTTTATCGGCACTAGCGCTAGCGACTCACAATGCATCGATGCACGAGCAAACTGAGTTGATGGGCTGTGATCGCGCTCACTAGCGCTGAGCTGCGCGTCAAGTTTGCCACTTGTCCAAGATGGCGCCGATGGCCGGGAATGAGTCTGTTAGGGAGCCTATTACTTTTATTTGTATTACTCAGACTACAAATTGTGTTGTTTTTTTTACACATGACTTTGGACCACTCCTCCGTTGCCCCCCCCCCCCTCCACCCTGCCCCCCCTCCCCCTCCACCCCACCCCTCCCCCCAAAAAACCTCCAATCCCTAGTTTTAGCCCAGAATTATGCAATAAATCGTTAACTGTCTTAGTCTAAGGAATTACAATAACAAGTATTCAAAGTTGGTTTACAAAAACAAGGTACGGTTTATAAAAACCATATAGATTGATTACACTTCTCAGTTGTCAGTTTGGTCACTTAGGCTAAAAAAAAGTGTCCTGTTTCTGGTATGCGCGCGTCGCCCTAGCCATGTGCGTCTCAACTGGCAAAATGAAAAAGGTTTTTTTTCAATGAAAGATGATATCTCAAAACCGCCAAACTCACTGGTTTGACTGGACTCCCATTGCACTAGGTTTAGTTGGGCACCATTTGCAGTCATCAGCCGACATTTGAAGGAAAAAAAACGGTAAAAAAAAAAAAAAAACGCGTCGCCGCACCACTGTTTCGGCAAGCTCCAGACCAGAAACCAGATACTTTTTTTTTTGGCCTTAAGGTGAACATTTTATTTTAGCTTCTCCTTATCAAACCAATGTGGAAAGACTTTCAAAAACAATTGTGTGCAATACATTTTGTACATGTTGTGGTTAGGGATGTGTAATTTCTGTAGTTTTGAGAATAGTAAGACATTAACCTCGCATTGACCCCATATGTACAGGAAGTGCCCACAAAAACCTCACGCTGGGTACTGCATGCTTTAGTGGTTATTTGTCACCGCCTTTCTTCACAATACTCTCATTGTGATGTTCTTCAGGTGTAAGTAATGAGACATTCATCTTTTATGAGTAATGCTCCCATACGTACATAATTTTTGTAAAGTGTTCCAGTATCAGTGAGTTTAATGAAATGTGGGTTTTTGGAGTGAGTGATCATGCTCTTTTGTGGCTTAAAAGGATTCATACAGGCCAGACTTTTTTGTTTGTTTGTTACAGAATCTATTTTTTGATTTCTCAGTTTGGTATATTAGGCCAAAAAAAAGGTTCAGGTTTCTGGTCTGTGCACGCGTCGCCGTAGCCATGCACGTCGGCAAAATCAGAACGTTTTTTTTCAATATATGATGATGTCTCAAAACCGCAAAACTCATTGACTGGAATCCTGCTGCTGCACAATTTTAACGTGTTTTTAGATGGGGTTACGATCGAGTATAAGCTTTATGTGGCCTCTCTGGGCTCCCATACATTTTGCACTAAATTTAGTTGGGCACCATTTGCAGTCATCAGGCGAAATTTTAAGGAAAACAAGTAATGAAAAAAAGCCACGTCGCTGCACCACTTTTGGGGTAAGCTGGTGCAGCTTATTCGACTGCCAAATTGAATGTGCAGCTTATTCGACTGCCAAATTGAATTCATCAATTTTAACTTGAATTGTTCATGTAACGCTTTGTGCTGCCAATTTGTTTGCAACAATTTGAACAGAAGCAACTGTTGCAGAAATATTCACAAAAATAACCAACAATCAATAATTAATCCATACATAAACATGATAGGAATGTTTTTTTCATATTAAAGGGGTACTAGGTCCTGAAATCCCCGAAAATGTCATGTTTTGGATTGTTTACTTATCCTATTTCAAACATGTGGTTGAAAGGAAACCAACCTAATGTCTTACCATTTCCGAGAAAAGACGAAAAATCCCCGGTTGTTTACATCGGACACGATGGAGTACGAATACGTTTTTCGTGTCGTTCTCATACAGTGTACGATATGTACGTTGTGTGTCTCGGGAACAGCGGTGACCAATCACCAATGCAAACAAATGTGGATTCTTCAACGTCCGCAAAAGGCGAACACTATGTTTCCCATAAAAATATTAGGGTAGGGGCTGTCAGAATAGGGTAGGTAGAGAAACCGGGAGCAGACTTATTATTTTGTTTGGCCTTACTTATTCTTTAGAGTCAAAATGTTCTCCAACGAAATTCATTCTCGCAAGAATAACACAAAAACTGCCCATTTTGTTTTGTGTTGTAAATGTTTATAAATATTCTGCTCTTAAATACTCTTTCCTATAATTTCATTTCGTTTACAACATGTTTTGTAGCCCAATTGGGCATTTTCCAGGACGCAGTGTCCCTTCAAAGTTTGAATGCATACTCCACGAGGGGTAAAATAAAATCATATATTTTAGGTGTGGCTAACTTGGTTCATCAATGCTTGAGCGAACATCAAAATATTTTTTTGACATCGACACTGACAGGATTGAGTAATACTGACCTAATTCTACAGGTGGGGTGATCAGCATTTGTCGTTCCCTTTTGTTAAGAAAATAATTTGCATATAATACAGACTGCGGTTACCGTAACTAGAGGGAGAGAATATTTACAAATTGTTTGGTAGGCCTTGAAGTTACCGGTAATAAAATATATTACATTGCAGATGGTTTTGAAAATGCTCTTAAAGGGAATGTACAACATTTGCTTTTGCTGCGGTTTCCAGAAATTAATGGATTGGGAGATTGGTATGTTATAGCAAATATTGTTACACTGACTTGTTTCATGTTTTGGGTTCGTAGATGCTGAAAAAAAAACCAAGAAAACCAATCATATTCTTGTAGTCTGGTTCCCTGACCCCACTCAAGATGAAACGGAGCAATTTATAGAATTCAGGGAATTGTAAGTTCAGAGAATCAGTCTAGCAGGCTTGTAGTCTTCACAGGTGTGTAATGTAAAGAAAATGCAGACGAACTACCTTTGAAAATTAGAAACACGTTTTGAAAAAAAAAACAGTTTTTTCCAACGCTGGTCGGCCGACCAGCGTTGGAAAAATACAGTTTTTCTTGAAAATGTCAGCACACCAGGAGCCGCAACTTTACATGATGCTTTAGACTGTCATTCCCAAACAATCCAGTAAAGTATTTCGTGATAATTTGATCATTTCGTTTTTGATGTTTGCAAATGTTGTATCGTCCCTTTAAATAAGCGTGTACGTAATGGAACGTTTTATGATGGTTTAAAGGTCATTTGCATTCGATGCATGTTTTCTTCGTTTCCAATAATAACACCAAGTGCTGAAAATGCAAAGAAGAATCCTCAAAACCTAAGCTGTTAAACTTTCAGCTCAGTGGGTATTGCACTTTTCGAGAAAACAGTCAGATCTAGAACTCGAGTGGATGCAAAACCACAAGTGGAACAGTGAGTAGCACAAGCTACTCGTGAGTAATCGAGTAATCAAGTCACGCCCAGCCCTAGTAGTCTCCAGTTAGACTTGATGTTGTTTTTCCCCCCAAGTCTTCAGGAAATTGCATCCTTGCCTGGCATTTGGCAGTTTTTCATTAATACTTCTCAACCACAGCAACACCTAAATCTCTCCAGTTTTCCTTGGGGGGAATTTTCGTCGCCTTTCAGTATTTGGGTTTTTTTTGGCAGTTCTCCGATCGTGTCTGTAAAATATAAGGAGCCTTTTTTTTTGTTTTAATATTGCACTCAGCGATGACATACGATCCAATGTTTGTACTCGGCAGATGAAAGATGTTGGCACAATATTGTTTTTAGGCCTGGGCCAGTTGGCCAGTTTCCTGCCTAGAATGTGTTGAATACCCAGGCAACTTTTTTTCCCCCCCTCTTTATGTTGGAGAGATTTTTGTTTTGTTAATTTTAAAAAAAATGTATTCAGTGGAAGAGTTTTTATTCAATAATACATCATTTATTCACAGAACTTGTCTCAAATTTTTTCTCCTTTTCAAAATACTCCTCTCTTTTTTTTTGGGGGGGGGGGGGAGGGAATGAGGGCTGCAGACTTACCGGTAGAAGT